TAAGCCAGCCTAGGCTACATGAAAGATGCTCTTACAACAACAACAACAACAAGCCTAGTTTGTAGGATAGGATCAACCTCATCCTTGTTTCTACCCAGAGGTCTTTGCCCAAACTGCCTAGCAATAGTGTTTCTACCTCTGGCATGTAGTTAGCCGTGCATGCGCTGCACAATCCTAGTCCTCCCAAATCTTTACTAGGTCATTTGCTCTCGAGAACACCTGGTCACATGGCAGACACACAAAATGTCTGTGGCCTTGAACTGAATATGCACCTAAGCGCAAATAGAAACAATAAACATATATTTTTAAAGGACTCAACTTCCTTAGTAATTAAGGAAGTGAAAATTAAAGACTATGTATAATATCATTCTGATTAGCGCCTATTAAACCAAGCAAAAATATCTAACGCTGGCCAGTGACTTGGAACAGTGCTATTCAAACCTGACTAATAGCCAGGTCAATTTTCATAATCCATCTAAAAACAGGATTAGGAAATATGTAACGAGAACCAACTGATTTTTGTTGTTGTTGTTGTTGTTTGTTTGTTTGTTTTGTTTTTCAAGACAGGGTTTCTTCGCGTAGCTTTGGATCCTGTCCTGGAACTCGCTCTGTAGATCAGGCTGGCCTCAAACTCAAAGAGATCCACCTGCCTTTGCCTCCCAAGTACTGTACTGACTTTTTTTTTTTTTAAGACAGTCTCTCTTGAGGCTGGAAAGTTGGCTCAGTAGTTAAGAGCCCTGGCTGCTCTTCCAGAGGACCTGGGCTCAATTTCATGGCAGCTCACAACTGTCTGGTGCCCCCTTCTGGTGTGCAGAGGTATGTGTAGGCAGAGTACCCATATTCATAAAATATGTAAATAAATAAATCTTTTTAAAAAGACAGAGAGCTACCAGATAATTAGGGAGCATAGGGGGAGGGGGAGGGGGAAAGGAAGGGAGGAAGGGGTATAGGAGAAATACATAGCTCAATAAAAACAATTTTTAAAAAAGATGGCGAGCTGGAATTAACCCATTCATGGGCATCTGTAATATTGACTACTGACAATATAGCAGAGCTTGGGCACCTACCAGAATATGAAGAAATATGAAACCAGGTTTATGATATGATACAAAAGAAAAACAGTATTCAAAGTCATAACTGTTCCATTACTCAAATGCTGTAAATCAGCTGCCAGGCCTGGTGGTGTGTGCACGTGTAGTCCAGCACTCAGGAGACTGAGGAAGGATTTCCATTAGCACGAGTACCAGTCCAGCCAGGACTATGTAACAAGACGGGTCAACCACAGAAAATGAACAGGCTTTAGTCTGTAGAGTGACTACCTAACATTTAAGAGGCCCTGAGCCCAATCCCCACCATCACAAAAAATGGGCTCAGTGGCACAAGCCTGTAATTCCAGGACTTGAAGCCACGAGCAGGAGGATCACAAGTTCAAGACCATCCTCAGTTACTATACAGGGGGTTCAGAGCAGCCTGGGTTACAAGAGACCCTGTCTATAAAAACAAACAAACAAAAGAAAGCATAGCTGAGTGAGAGCCATAGGCCTCTACTCCCTGCTCCCTGAAACTGGAAAACAAAGGCAAGCAGACCAGGAGCTCAGGGCTAACCTCAGCTATATTGCAACATTGAAGTCAGCCTGGACTGCATGAAACCCACCCCCATCTCAAAAATAAACAAATAGCTGAATGGTGGTGGTGCCCACCTTTAATCCCAGCACTTGAGAAGCAAAGGTAGGTAGAGCTCTGTGAATTCGAGGCTAACCTCCTCTACAAAGAGAGTTCCACAACAGCCAGAGCTGTTACACACACACACACACACTCAGGAGGCAGACATGGGATCTCTGTGAGTTTGAGCTCAGTCCGGTCTACCTACATAGTGAGTTCATAGTGGGACAGCAGGAGCTACATAGTAAGACCTTTTGTCCAAAAAACTAAAAATAAAAAAAAAACAATACAGGACATTCTCAAAGAATCATGGTAAGTTTTAAAATGTAAGACTAACTGTTCCTTAGATGGAAGAGTGTTTATGAAGTTTTTTTGTGTGCTTGTTTGGTTGGTTTAGTTTTTCGAGACAGGCTTTCTCTGTGTATCTCTGTCTGTCCTGTAACTCTCTCTCTGTAGACCAGGCTGGCCTTGAACTCTGAGATTCACCTGACTCTGCCTCCCTAGTGCTGGGATTAAAAGTGTGCACCACCAGCCGCCTAGCATAATATTTTTGTAGAGAAAAAAAATTACAGAAGAAACTGCAAGGAAGATTGAACCAAAAAATAAATAAATAAATCAAAGCATTAAGAGTTTGTCTCTGGGTAATGGGATTATTGTTTTTATTTATTAATAAATGTGTTGGAATTCCTCAGCTTTATGGCGCTCTACAGAAGCGGTAAGTGCTCTTCCTATTGAGCCAGAATCTCCCGCCGTAATTAAGAGCTGTACGGAATAAAGTGTATAGTATGCATGCAAAGCAAAGGGGCAATGTAAGCAAAAATTATTTTTTAAAAGAAACAAAAATATGCTAGATATTAAAAACAAACAATCCCGGCATGGTGGCACACACCTTTAATCCCAGCACTTGGGAATAGAAGCAGGAGGATCTCTGAGTTTAAGGCCAGCATGGCCTACAGAGTGAGTTCCGGGACAGCCAGGGCTATACAGAGAAACCCAAACAGGCTAACGGAACTCATGACCACTCATGACAGGAAGGAGTCTCCCAAAGTGAAGGGAACCATAGGAGGCACACCCATGGGGCTGCAGGAAAGGGTTTTAGCCACACAAAGACAGTGGTTAAACAAATAAGGAGTAAGAAACCACCATATACTAAAAACCCAATAAAACTGCATAAATAATACATAGTTTTGTTATTTGTATTAAAATTTTTTATGCCTACTGGTGTTTTACCTCATGTATGCCTGAGGTGAGTGTTGGGTCCCCTGAACTGGAGTTACAGTCATGTGGGTGCTGGGAATTGAACCCCGGGCTCTCTGGAAGAGCAGTCAGTGCTTTTAACTGCAGAGCCATCTTAAACAGACTCATAATACATAGTTTTTAATAATAAGTATGGATAGAGTGGGGTTAGTCCCTCAATCAAACAAACAGACTCAATAAAAAAAAATAGGATTGGGACCAGCAAGAGGGTTTAGCAGGTGAAACCACAAAAACCATATGACCTGAGTTCTAGATCCTAGAGTAGAAGGAAAGAACTAATTCCTGAAAGTTGTCCTCTGACTTCTGTGCACACACCCACACCACACGCACACATTTCTCTCTCTCTCTCTCACACACACACACACACACACACACGATAGAGATAGATAGATAGATAGATAGATAGATAGATAGATAGATAGATAGATGATAGATAGATAGATAGATAGATAGATAGATAATAAGAGGATCCACCTATTTGTTGCCTTTAAGAAACCCACCTTGCAGACTGAGGCGATGGCTCAGTGGTTAAGAGCACTGGCTGCTCTTCCAGAGAACCCCAGTTCAATCCCCACCATTGACACAGCAGCTCACAACTGTCTGTAACTCCAGTTCCAGCAGATCTGATAGCCTCATACAGATGTACATGCAGGCAAAACACCAGTGCATATGAAATAAATATAAATAAAGAAACACACCTCACTGGGCAGTAGTGCTATATACCTTTAATCCCAGCAATCGGAAGGCGGAGGCAGGCAGATTTCTGTGACTTCGAAAGCAGCTTGGACTACAGAGTGAGTTCCAGGACAGCAAGGGCTGTTACACAGAGAAAACCTGTCTTGGGAAGAAAAAGAGAGAGAGCAAGAGAGAGAGAGGAGAAAAAAAAGGAGGGAGGAAGGAAGGGAGGGAAGGAGGGAAGGAGGGAGGGAGTGTTGGACTCTAGCGTCCAAACACCGAGAAGGAGTCGCCCCCAGAGACCATCTCACATACTACAGCCAATACAAAAGCATGAGGATTTTATTAATTCTGTCATGACAGGGTCCCCCAGCATTTGGGAAGCCAAGGGACCTCGAATAGCGGGTAGTCTACTTTTAAAGGGGCCACAGAAGCAAGGGGGGTTGTTCTTGACTATTCTGATTGGCTTATTTGAAAGGGCTAATACCAATAATTGACTGGAGAGCTGTTGCCAGATCAGATGAGGTAAGAGGTCATTTTGACCCCGTTTCCCAGGGGACCGAACCAAAGCATATGTATATGGGTAATTGTTCAGGAACTGAGTACGTGCGAGTGTAGCTGTTAGGTCCTTGGTTCCCAGGGGAGGGGGGAAGCACTATGGCACAGAGGCTGAGAGGATTCAGAATTGTCAAAAATGGCTTCAGGATTGTCTTAAAGTCTTACATTCCCTCCTCTTATTTGGTCAAATATCTCAATCTTGAGATATTAGTAAATTTGGAGGACCAATTGGATCTGTATACAGAAATTAACAAACCAGTGTTATAGACCCATCATAGATCAATAAACTGTCAGATGAGACTATTTTCTCATATTAGGGAGGTCCTGCTGACAAGCATAGCCAACAAGATTGTGTCAAGCTGGGGTCAGTACTATTTAGCAAAGAAAAGGCTCCCATTATCAGATTAAACAGTCACTGGCCTGTATTAGAGCTTGCCAGCAGTGAAGCAGGAGCTGTAGAAGGGTTTTTAGGACTAGGAGTAGAGCCCAGGGCCCTGGAAAGGGGGGCTACCTCGGTAGGGGCTCATTGGCCCTGGTCAGTTAATACTGGGTTGGGCCCTAGTACTATGGTCATTGGAGGTGTTACCATTCACAGGGTCAACAGAATCCCTATGTCTTTTTTTCTGGATCATATAACTATAAACCCCAAGTATTGCCTGTCAGATTTTTTTTTTTTTTCTCAGTAAAAGTGATTGTGATTTCAGACTTTTTTTCTGGTGTGGTACGGGTGAAAGAGACTAAGTCCTTTTTGTTAACCCTCAACCAGGAGACATTGACATTGGTTTTACATCCCCAGACAGCACAATAAACTTTAGCCGCTCCCCCCATATTATTTTTCCCCCCTGGACAAACATATCATTCAGAATATTTGCATACAGGATAAAAGTTTCCAGGGGTTTGCTCAGTATCCTCCCAAGAGGCGAGAGGATTTTGGGTACGCTGAAACTTTCATTTGGATGGTCCTGGGTTGTCCTGTGGAGGTGTAGGCTTGACGTGAGATGCATGGATCCAGGCTGCAAGATCGTCCACTTTGAGGGCAGTAGGTGTAGGGTCCCAGCAAGGTTTAAGGTTCTGGGACCGGTGTCTCTGAACATACACAGAATCGCCAACCTGGAACAGGTGTGAGATTTTCTGGTGCCCGGGCTGGTGTTGGGAGGTGCCAGCAGAGAAGCAGGGAGAGTAGCTTAGTCCAGCGGGCAGCAGCAGGGATAGCTAGGGCCCCTTTAGGGAGGGTCTAGTCTGGCCTGCAGCAGCAGGCTCTGGTCAGATAAATACCATTTTATGTCCCAAGTCCTTCCCGACACCCATGGAGACAGTCCCGCTTCTCGCCCCTAGGAGACAAGTGGGGGAGATGTCTGAACCCCCGTGTCCAAATATTTCCTTCAGGGGAAAATCTTTTGCCAGCCTCCAGGGTCAGCTGTGGGGTATATGTATCTCAGATTTCCCAGGAGGCTAGCCCTGCTACTAGTTGACAGAAATCAGGGGTAAGGGCAGGGGTATCAAAGCAAGGGCTTGAGGAGGCATGGATTGCAGGTATGAGCGGGCAGCTGCTGTTCTGGCTGTGGGGTGCTGCAGCTTTTCTCATGTCCCTCCGGATATACCCAGGAATCCACAAGGATGACCCAGCTAAGACCGTAAGCAATAGAGGAGAGGGGGCCTGAATTGGCCTTGCCCTGTAGTCAGACTGATGATTATCTTAAATATCACCATAGAACCTTCGTCCCACAACAGATGAAAACAGAGGCAGAGACTCACATCGGAGCACTGGACTGAACTCCCAAGGTCTAGTTGAAGAGTGGACGTAATGACAATATGAGCAAGGAGGTCAAGACCATGAGAGGTTCATCCACTGAAACAGTTTACCTGAGGTAATGGGAGCTCACCAACTCCAGCTGGACTGGGAAGGAACAAGCATAGGACCAATTAGTCCCTCTGAATGTGGTTGACAGTTGTATGGCTGGGGCAGACTGAGGTCCCATGGGCAGTGGCACTGGGAGTTATCTCTACTGGCTTTTGGGGATCCTATTCTCTTTGGATGCATACCTTGCTCAGCCTTCTCCTAGGATTGGAGGGGGTGGGGTGGGAGGTTGTGTAGAGGGAGGAGGGGAGGGAGTGGGAATTTGGATTGGTATCTTTTTTTAAATCTAATTTTAAAAATTGGTCTTAAAATACACACACAAAACCAAAAAAAGAAAAAAGAAAAGAAAAAAGAAAGACCCAAGATATATATCCACATGGCAAGAACCACCTGATTTTTGGCAAAGATGACAAAAATATACATTGGAGGCAAGATGGCATCTTTAACAGACGGTATTGGGAAAGTGGGATATCCACAGGTAAACAGATGAAGCTAGAGCCTATCTCTCAACTTGCACAAGAATCCATTCCAAAAGAGATCAAAGACCTTCCTGTCAGACCAAACTCAGAACCCATTAGAGGGAAAGTAAGGTTAGGGCTAGCCTCAAACCTACCATAAGCTGGCTAAGACCAAGGATGACTTTGAGCTTGGATACTCAATATTTGTCAAAAGCCAAAAAATGATGAATTTGAATTTCTTTGCAAAAAAATCTATTCCGTCTATTTGCTGATGGGACAGGGGACATGCCACAGTGCTTGTGTGGGGTCAGAGGACAGCTGGCTTTTGTGGTAGAACACTTACGTAGCACGTATGAGGCCCTAGGTTTGATCTCCAGATCAAACATGTTCACATGTATTGTGCACACGCATACACACAAAATCTGGTAGCGATGAGTTGGACACAGAGGCCGAAGCAGGCAGATTCTCTATGAATTCAAGGCCAACCTGGCTTACGTAAAGTATCTTATTCCAGGCCAGCCAAGGCTACATAGTGAGACCCTGTCTTGACAAACAAACAAAAAATCTAGTAACTGATAATAACAGCTAATGTTTACTGTTCGGCTGTTTGCCAGACATTGGCTAAGAACTTAATAACAAGGTGAAGAATACAAAATAAGCTACCAGGCCTAGATCCCACAGCTGACCAAAAGCTGTGAATGGCACCTTTCTCAGGGTGCCCAGGACCTTAGAGCACGGAAGAAATTCAGATGAAGCAAATGAATGCCCTTGGAAAAAGCATGTACCCCGTTACCAGTCATGCCAAGAACCTTCGGAAAACCCGCTGTGCAAGTGACACCCTTGAAAGAGACTTTGGGGTTCAATGAAAAGGGAATAAGCCAAGTAGCTTGTCAGGAGTTCCGTGTGACCCAGGAAGTCCTGAACATGTGCTAATACTTCTACTTCAGACTTCGGCCTCAGAGAGATGTGAGTTCAAAGAGAATCTTCCTACAGCTGGGAGAAGGACATTGAAAGATACACAAACAGGGAAAAGTCCTCCAGAGATATGGGTACAGCAACTCCCTGCTTTTGCCCTGTGAGTGGCTTCTGGGAGGGAAGGTACAGGACAGCTACTCATGGGATAAACCCTGGGGTGTGGCTGTCTCCATGACTTGCTGCTTGCATTGGACTGGGAGGCTGAGCCACTGTGAGCTAAGGTGGATCTTGACACTTCATTGGACTTGTTTCAAACTTGTCTTTGAGATTCTTTCTGCCACTTCCCTGGGACATTGGTTTTCAGATTTGTCTGTAGAAAACAGCCAGCTCCCTTAAACTTCCTTCCTGCACATCTGAGAGCTTGAACAAGAGTCCATACTGGCCCCAGAGTGGAGAAGCACACAATATGGGCCTGCTTCCCACTGTTTCATGGCTTGACTCTGTGGCTAGATTCGACTATGATTGGTTGCTATGAATTGAAATTGTTATTTCTCTAAGTTATATCCAAATCTTGTGGGTTTTTTTTCCAGGCCACGTGTCTCGTCACCCCAGTTTATAAGAACTTTTCTGAGAGTCAAGGTCTTATCTACAACACCACCAGTCTATCAAACTCTCAGGAATTTATCTCAAAAAAAAAAAAAACCCATTTCCTTCTCCTCTCATCCTGCCATCATCGTCTAAGGCAGGACTTAGAGCACACCCAAACTAGGCCATTCAAACAAAGCCCCAGTATCGTGAAAGACAAGGATATTTCACAAGGAGTTTGCTTGCCAAGAAGTGGAGGAAGGTACCTATTGCCAAAAGACAGAGACGAAAGGAACTTGACATAGAGGGTTGCCTCACCAGAGCTAAGATTTTGGCAAGACACACAGCAGCCCAGCTGAGAAAGTAATGCACACCTGCAATCCCAACACACGGAAGCTGAAGCCAAGGTGGTCAGGAGTTGAGGTCGTCCTAAGCTACACAGCAAGTTTGAGTTCAAGGTCAGATGTCTCAAAAACAACAACAACAACAAAAAAAAAACCTTAATAACAGCTTCTCTCCCACCCTGCCCATCTTCTGGGAAGTCAGGGTCACAGGTACCCTCACCTCGCTGCCCCTCACGTGGAAAGTCCTCATTCGGCAGCTGGGTTGAATGCAGCCCCTTTTTCTTCAGTGGGCTGTCAAACGTTTGTGTCCATCCTTGATCCTGCTCCCTACCCTGTTCTCAGCTGTGCCCCCCACCCCCGTCCTAGCTTCTGACTCTTGTGCTTAGAACAGTGTTTCTCAACATGTGGGTCACGACCCTTTGGCAAGGGTCTCCAAAAAGATTTACATTTTGAATCGTAACAGTAGCAAACATACAGTTCTGAAGTGGTAATGAAAATAATTTTACGGTTGAGGTCACCACAACATGAGGAACTGTACTAAGGGGTCTCAGCGTTAGGAAGGTTGAGAAGCACTGACTTAGCGGGTCCCCTGTTGTGGACCTGGGAGGCCATAGGACTTTCATAGGAGAATGATGGGCTAGGTGGAGATCCCCTCCTTAGAGACATAGAAGTTTCCTTTAAATTATTAACTTATGCGACTCCTTCTTGAAGACCCCAGTAACTTCAGTTTCTCTTTGTCTGCCTTGGCCATCCCCACTTGTCAGTTTACCAAGGTGAGGTGCCCCCAGAACAAAGTAAAGTAACCGTATGTTAAGGGGGGGGGTGGACTGGAGAGATGACTCAGTGGTTACGAGCACTTGTTGCTCTTGGAGAGAACCTGGGTTCAGTCTCTAGCATCCACCTGGTGGCTCACAACTGTCTGAAACTCCAGGGCCAGAGAATCCAGTGACCTCAAGGGCCACTAAAGACACACATATTGCACATACTTACTCAGCCTGAAGGCTGGAAGGCAGAATATGCTGCCCTCGCTCTTCCCTTCCCTGTGATGGTTTGCCACGCTGGCTAAACTAATCCGGAGCTATACACAGTTACTCAGCCAAGACGTCAGCAGAAGCATCGTGTGGGACGGAGCAGGGATTGCATCTCGAAGGCAGACAGAAGCTAGCCTTCTTGTTTTATGTAGCCCAGGCTGGTCTAAAACTCTTGCGCCTCCTGCCTGAGTCTCTGGAGTACTGGAATGACAGGACTATGCCACCTCTGTGCCCATCTTGCCCATCCTGAAAACCGTCCCCACCTTGGATTACTTGCTACCTTCTGCCAGCACCCACATGCCCCCATACACACAATAATCCATGCAGATTTAGACCTCCCTGTATAGCCCAAGGTTCCAATTTGAGGCAATTCTCCTGCTTCAGTCTCTCTTGGGATTTTAGATGTGTAATAATACCACAACCACATTTTTCCCACCCCCAGTCCCCTTTTTCTTTTTTGGTGTGAGGATGCTAAATCCCCTGGAACTGGGGTTACAAACAGTTGTGAGCTGCCATGTGGGTGCTAAGAATTGAACCCAGGTCCCCTGGAAGAGCAGACAATTCTCTTAACCACCATCTCTCCAGCAGTCCTCCTGCCTCCACCTCCATCTCCCAAGTGCTAGGATTAAAGGCGTGCGTCACCACTGCCTGGCAAGAGTTCTGACTCTTGCAGTCCAAGCTGACCTTGAGTTTGCTGTGTAACAAAAATAACTGTGAACTTCTGACTCCACTTCCAGTACTGGAAAGGCACCGGCTACTGCTCCTGGTTCATTTGCTACTCAGGATGAAACCCAGTGCCTATACATTGCAGGAGAGCACTACCAGCTGAGCTACAGCCCCAGCCTTATTTTAATCACTTAAATAAAATGTTTTACAATTCTTTATTGGGGGAGCACAGGTGTGCGTGGAGTCCAAGGACAACTTGCAGGAGTCCGTTCCCTCCTAGTGTGTGGCTCCCAGGGATTGAACTCGGGTGGTCAGCCTTGAAAGTAGGCACCTTTACCTACTTGGGCATCTCACTGGCTCCATTTTTATCATTTTTTGAATATAAAATAGAATTTAATTTTTTTTAAATTTTTATTTATTTATTTATTAAAGATTTCTGTCTCTTCCCCACCGCCGCCTCCCCTTTCCCTCCCCCACCCCCAATCAAGTCTCCCTCCCACATCAGCCCAAAGAGCAGTTAGGGTTCCCTGCCCTGTGGGAAGTCCAAGGGCCACCCACCTCCATCCAGGTCTAGTAAGGTGAGCATCCACGAAACTGCCTAGGCTCCTACGAAACCAATAGGTACAGTAGGATCAAAAACCCATTGCCATTGTTCTTGAGGTCTCAGTAATCCTCATTGTCCACTATGTTCAGCGAGACCGGTTTTAACCCGGGCTTTTTCAGACCCAGGCCAGTTGGCCT